CCGACATCACATGGACCCGACTCCGACATCACATGGACCCGACTCCGACATCACATGGACCCGACATCACATGGACCCGACTCCGACATCACATGGACCCGACTCCGACATCACATGGACCCGACATCACATGGACCCGACTCCGACATCACATGGACCCGACTCCGACATCACATGGACCCGACATCAAATGGACGCGAGTCCGAAATCACATGGACCCGACTCCGGCATCACATGGACCCGACTCCGACATCACATGGACCCGACATCACATGGACGCGAGTCCGACATCGCATGGCCCGGCTCCTTCAATTTTCCTGTAATGCAGGGATATTAACCAGAGGTACCTACTCCCCACGGGGTATTGAGTCTAATGGTACCCGGGTGCGAATGGCGGCGCTGCGTGTCTGGGCCCATTTTGACTCAGTGCTATTCGGATGTCATCTATGGTAGTTTATTTTAGTTAAACTGAAGAATTAAGTTTACAAACATATAGTCCATTCGATTGTCTTTCATTTGATTCCTCATTTTCTCTTACAAACCCAACAATACTATTTTAATTTTTTTTTTTGAATCTCAATCTCTCACTTCTGGTACCCGGGTACGAATAGCCACTTCGTACGTAATAATGGTAAAATGTTTGAGTTATTTACACTGGTCAATAATCCATAGTCGTTAGAAACACGACAATACATTTTATATGCAAAAGTGGATCTAATACAGTCCTCTAATCGTTTCAATGTCCACCGTTGTAAGGATTAGATTTCCATTCAGCTTTTTATATTTGGTGTAAATAAATAGGTGCGTTTCTCTCTGAAGAAATCCGTTGATAACTTCTTTTCGATGACATATATGTGCACATGAATGAGCATATTTACCTTTGTGGTTGATTTGAATCTATCATTTAAAAACCCCAGACACGAGCGGGTGATAGCCCATGAGAGAGTCATCCACCAGTATATGTTATTTGACCGCAGCTCTACAATTCCTCTAGCTGGCCACCATCAAACTCCTTATCACGATGACCTAAAGGTCTAGCTTCGCCTATGACAAACATCACAACTGACTATTCAGTGACCAAGCCACATCGACGAGTTGACACCTCCAAAGTTTGTGGCTAATTGTCATCCCTCTTCTGCCTTATTTCATTATCCGCGATGCTCAAGTCAGGAATCTCAAAAAAAAAAAAAAAAAAAAAAAAAAAAAAAAAAAAAAAAA